CACTCTACCGTGGGCAACAGTGAGACTCTGTCTCCAAAAAAAAAAAAAAAAAAAAATGAAGCTTTTAAATCAGCAGCCCCCAACTTTTTGGCACCAGGGACTGATTTCATGGAGGACAATTTTTCCACAGATGAGGCAGGGTGGTTTTGATATGAGTCTGCAAGCAACCGTTTTATTACAGTGTCTGTGCAGTCCAACCTCTCTGCTAACAACAATCTGTGTCTGCAACCACCCCCAACACCAGCATCACAGCCTGGGCTCCCCTCAGGACATCATCAGATTCTCCAAATGAGCTGTACTACAGACGGTGAAGCAGCCGCAACCTAGATCCCTCCCAGGATGTGACAGGGGGTCTGATCAGCACTGCAGACTGTGAAGCAGCCGCAACCTAGATCCCTCCCAGGATCTGATGGGGGGGTCTGATCGGCACTGCAGACTGTGAAGCAGCCAAGTCTCCACATCTCATCAGGTATTTTGTTGCATTAAGAGATTTTGCATTTTTCTCCTTTCTATTATTTCTCTTGGAGCCAAATGATGGGGGTGAGAGATTATTTTCACATAGACATCTCTCCCTTCCACACTGGTCTCAGGGACATGCAGAAGGGCACTGCTACCAGGAGCCACGTCCCCACTGGGCATCACAGACAGTGGGGTCACTGTGGACTTGCTCACCACATAGAGCCCTGCCATCTCAGGGTCACTGCCAACTTGCTCAAAAAGTTCAGGGGGGTTGGAGGAGTGTTGGTTACACTGAGTCCCAGGTGAGAGGGAACTTCTTCGAGACCCCAGGAGAGAAGGGACACTGGGGCTGGGCTCTCAGTGACAAGATGTGGCCTCACTGGAGGAAAAGGTGGTCCAAGGGTGAGATCCCCAGGTGACCACACTGAGTGGGATTCAGCTGAGAATGATGACAATGAGGGTCAAGTTCAATGAATACACTTCCCAGGAGCACATGGAAAGTAGCAAAGCAGTGGAGAATTTGAGCTAAGAATTAACAGAAAACAACTCAATTTAGCCTCTGCGCAGGTGAAGAGCTCAGCCACTCCTCCTGGTATCTCAGTCAAGAGTCAGTCCCTCCTCTTGGGCCACCACCCCACTGACCTGTGTGGACAATGAACCCACGCCAGCTCACTGTATCAGGGCCATGTGAAACAGAAATTCTAATAGAGCCACCCAGTGTCCTTGGGGAGGAGCCATGCCATCAGCAGCAACTGCAGACATGTCCTCACTGTAAATCCTGGCCCACAGCCCTATTTCATAAGTTGCAATTTTCGTATTTCTGTCCCGGGGGGGTGGGAGTGGGGGATGCACTGGTGAGGTCTCTTGAGGTCCCTTTCCACTAACGTCAGTCCTTCGCGGAGAAAACGACGTGAGGCTCTCAGAGCTGACTGAGGGATGTATGGAGCAAGCAGTCCAGGACGTGGAGAGCTTCCACGCCTCCTCCTGGAGTGAGCAAGCAGACGGGCGCGAGGTGAATTTGCCACGAACCCCATCTCAGCCTGCCCCCCTCACAGACACGTGTGCTCTGAGACACTCGCGTCTGCCAGGCACACACGGTTTCTCTCCAACTGCGGCTGCTTGGCACCTCAGATGGCTGCGAAACAGGTGAGAAGCAACTGAGCTGTGAGGCTGAGCTGCTGGAAGGCAAACGGTCTGTGGCTCTGTGGGGGACGCAGCTGTGAGATCCAGCAGGCACAGGCAGGGTCGGAAGCTGACCATCTCACCCGGGATCCCACACACATACCTCCACCCCGGGACTCCTGAAGACTTAACCACTTCCCAGGGCGCTGGATTCAGTCAAAGTTACCCATAGTTGAGACAGGATGTTAGTTACACTGTTACAGAAAGTCGCAGTCTGTCTGACATGACATGGTGTCATCCTCGCACAGTCCTCAGACCCAGTGCTGAGCCCAGCGTCCAGACCGCGTGGTTCTCCCACGCCCACTACCTCTCCAGCCCACCTTCTCTAGCCACCCACCTGTGACGGCGTCGAAGAATTCCTCCTCCCCGTTCATCCTTCAGCGTCCCGGCTCTTGTGCTGCCCCTGCTGTGGTCTTCTACTGAATCATTGTATCTCATCTACCTCAAGGATGTGAGCAACTTTATGCTACAAACTTTTTCTTGGTGAAAATCCAACAGATGCTGGAGATCTAAGGGGAAAACATTTTGGCATATTAGCTTTCAGAAGTTCCATGAAAGGCTTAGAAACAGCTTTTTTTTTTTTTTTGAGATAGAGTCTCACTTTGTCACCCTGGGTAAAGCGCGGTGGCATCAGAGCTCACAGCAACCTCAAACTCTTGGGCCCAAATGATTCTCTTGTCTCGGCCTCCAGAGTAGCTGGGACTACAGGCACCTGACACAGTGCCTGGCTATTTTTTAGAGATAGGGTCTCACACTTGCTCATGCTGGTCTCAAACCTCTGAGCTCAGGCAATCCACAAGCCTTGGCCTCCCAGAGTGGCAGGATTACAGGCGTGAGCCACCAAGCCCCGCCAGAAACATCTTTAAAATACCCATTCATTGTTCTTAAAATCCATCTCACTTACATCTAAGCTAAGAAATACAGTGAACTATCTCATAACAAATATGTATATTTTTAAAACTACAAATGAGGAGAATGGTGTGAGGAGACGGCGCCTCATCAGTTTGGGGACACCCCCGTGGGCAATGAGAGCAGGTGCATCTCCCTGAGGCACTCAATGCCAGGGCTCAAGCACATCTTAGGAAGTTTTGCCAAAAGTCACTGCCACCTCCCCAGAAACTAGAACAAGTGGTTATAAATAAGTGCAAAATTATGGTAAAATGTTTGTTTCACATCTACTGAAACTAATTTTGAATTGTAGAGAACTGGCTGCTATGTAAGTTAGCAGCTATCGAGGTAAACTGACAAAAATTTGAATTTTCTCAGTGTTATTTCAGCTCAGTGTTCAGTAGGACACATGTACATTTCCTTCTCCAGAAGGAAATATTTCATAAATGACAAGAGAATGAAGCAAAAAGCCAACCTTGACCCGAAAGGTTTAACTTATTCTGAAAATAAACACATCAACCCTGAGCCCGGGGCCTCCAGGCAGCTGAGGGCGTAAAGGTGCGGGGGCAGCAGGAAGGGTCCCAAGTGAGGGACATGCCCTCTGTCCTCTGAGTAGCCACATCGTGCTCACAGGTACCCCTAAGTGGCTTCTCTCTGAGGCTCTGCCCCCCAAAGTGAAGGTAAATTAGCAGCAACATAGGTCGGCTTCCACATGACGCCACCAACCGCACTAGGTCACCCCATCCCTCTCTTCCCTGGAGACCCTCTCTTGCGTCTGTCCCTTCCCACTTCCCAGACCCCTGGGAGCCAGTACAAAGAGGCTCGCTTGCTAGTGCATGATCTGTCTTTCTTTGTGAGTCAGAGAAGTCACCACTGCTAACAAGAAGGCCCTTGCCAGATGCAGCCCCTGTACTGGGCTTCCCACCCTCCAGAACCCTGAGCCAGTAATGTCTGCCCATCACCAGGTGCCCAGTCTGTGGTGGTCTAACAGAGGAGATGCAGGGTCAGGTCAGGAGACTCAGAATGAGCCTGCAGAAGCCCCCACTGCAGAGACGAGACAACGTCAGTAACGAAAGACTGAGACATGCCACCTGCACTATGTCCAGAGTTCACACAGATGCTGGAGCACAGACTAACTGGTCACCACTGTGTGACACCAGCAAACCCACACGTTACCTTGAAAACCATAAACTAAGGGACAGCACGGAGCCCTCATCCTGCCTTTCCTGTGCAAACCAACTGTGTCACCAATAACAGCTGAGGGGAATCACAGGAGTCCAGTGAATAGCTGAAGAGAGAATGAGAGCACGTGGCCGTCCCTGGACAACCCTGGTTGAGTTGGTGCCTCTCAGCACTGAACATCCTAGGCACCTCCTGGGAGATGCACAGGTCTCCACCTGCCTCCAGCGTTCACCTGTCAGTTTACCTGTCAACATGAGGAACCCAGTGGGTGGCGCCTGTGGCTCAAAGGAGTAGGTGCCAGCCCCATATGCTGGAGGTGGCCAGTTCAAACCCAGCCCCAGCCAAAAATTGCAAAAAAAAAAAAAAACCATGAGGAAGCCAGAGAAGAGGGAACCGGGAAACATGCCCAGAGAGCAGTCAGCACCTGGGGCCTCTCCAGGAACCAAATCTCAGGGGAAAAGCGCGCAGCAGAGAGGCAGGAGGGCTGTTCAGCTGTCACCTGAGTGACACATGACGTTAAACTACATCTTGGGTGCAGCAAGACCCAGGCAGGACAGGGCCGAACTTCTTCAACAGTAAATTATAGAGAAAAAGCGGGGGCAGCAGAGTTGCGCAGATGCTCGCAGTCCCGGGTGCGGCGACAGTCTCATGGATGTGCACAAGTCAAACTCAGCGTGTGTGCAACATGAAGGGTGTCGCTCTATTAGAGGCCAATGATGCCTCTGAAAAGCCATCTTTAAAAAGATACACCAAGCCCTGGAGTTGAGGCTGCCATGAGCTACGATGGCACCACCACATGCCAGCCTGGATGACACAGAAAGATCTTGTCTCTAACAAAAAGAAAAAAAATGACATACCAACAATATGCTTGAAGCAGGATTCAGATGTGGCCTACACACAGCCGGGGGTCTGGTAGAGATTTCACACGACCACTGGACATCTGAGCAGAGGGGACATTTGATGACAGAGCAGTACTGCTCTTTTTTTTGAGACAGAGCCTCAAGCTGTCCCCCTGGGTAGAGTGCCATGGCATCACAGCTCACAGCAACCTCCAACTCCTGGGCTCAAGCGAGTCTCCTGCCTCAGCCTCCCAAGTAGCTGGGACTACAGGCGCCCGCCACAACGCCCGGCCATTTTTTGGTTGCAGCCATCATTGTTGTTTGGTGGGCCCGGGCTGGGGATTTGAACCCGCCACCTTAGGTGTATGTGGCTGGCGCCTTGGCCACTTGAGCCACAGGCACCGAGCCAGTACTGCTCATTTTTAAAGTGCTGTAATAATATCTTTTGAAAGAAGCCATACCTTTTCCTGAAATACGCATGGATTAAATAATAGCAGGGCTGGTCTCTTCTATGAGATAAGCAGGATGGGTGGGGGCAATGGAATCCTGCCCACAGCTCCCCACATGTGCCACTCTCCTCAGTGAAGCAGGGTCAAGGCCCTTTCATTCCCCTTTGTAACATTTTATTTTTTTCTTTTACATTCTTATTTATTTTTGTTGTTTATTTATTTTTTGAAGACAGAGTCTCACGTTGTCACCCTTGGTAGAATGCTGTGTCATCACAGCTCACAGCAACCTCAAACTCTTGGGCTTAGTGATTCTCTTGCCTCAGCCTCCCAAGTAGCTGGGACTACAGGTGCCCTCCACAACACCCAACTATTTTTAGAGACGCAGTCTCGCTCTGGCTCAGGCTGGTCTCGAACCTGTAAGCTCAGGTGATCCACCCACCTTGGCCTCCTAAGTGCTGGGATTACAGGTGTGAGCCACTGTGCCTGGCCTTCTTTTGTTATTTTTTATTCTGGCTCAGGCTGGTCTCCAACTACCAAGCTCATGCAATCCTCTCGCCTTGGACTAGAGTGCTAGGACTACAGGTGTGAGCCATGGCACCCGACCACGTTCTTCTTTTAAATATGCTTCCTTACTTATAACTGAGTCCTAATATCAAATCAAAACCTATAGGAAATCTTTAAAATGAGGGTGCAAGATGTGAGGTTTGACAAACACCAACTTTGCCTGCAGCCTGGTTCCTGCCATGTGGGCCCTAAAAGCCAGTCATGACCCAGGACCTAAGAAGGCCTGCCTCACACGGTCCTTCCCTAAGACACCCACAAGTGCCAGAAGGCCAGGCAGGTTCACAGGCAGCTCTCAGACCCCTTGAGGGAGCGATGGTTACCTGTGACACAGAGCAGGGTCATTCCCAAAGGAGCTGTGGGGCGGCCAATACACATTTGATCTTCTTCATTTTACTGAGGCCCAGTCTGGGGCCTAAGTGCTACCAGCTGCCATGGCAGAACAACTGTGGTATCATTCCTTCATCCAACAGACACCAAAAGCTCTCTCAGTGCTAGGCCTCCTGCCCACAAGAAGCTGTTTATGAAGAAGGCTGGACCCACAGCCTTCCAGGGCTCCAGGGATGGCCCCTCTGAGCAGGCCCTAAGGGAGCCACCCTGGGGTGAAGTCCCACACCAGCCTGGGGGCAGGGAAGACGAGCAGGTAGGAGTGAGGAGATTCTGGGCACAGAGTCCCCGGTCTTCTGCCCCTCCTCCCATGGGTCCATCCCTGGGTTTTTTCTCTTGGAAGCCTGTTCAGACATATGGGCCTCTCAACTGCCCCGAAAGCCCAGCCAAAACACTCTGAGGGGTGCCCTAGGGCTGCGTCTACAAAGCCCTCCAGAGTCAAGATTCTTCCATTAAAGGAAGCCAAAGTTGAGGTTCATGAGTGAGCACTCTGCCAAAGCTGAGGGGCACACAGAAAGCTAACCGAGGAGGAAAAGGCGCCGACAGAAAGGCAGGGTTTGTGATTTCCTGAACATGTTCTAAGGCAGACTTTATTTTGCACTCAGAAAAAAATCTATGGAGACAGTATTTCAGGGAAGGCCCTTGTTGGGCTCTTTTGCGTTGGTTTTAATCAGCTTTTCCTCCCTTTTCTCAGAGAAAGCCCAGAGGAGCGAGCTGGTGCCACCCCTCCCTCCATCCTTGTCCCATCGGGGAGAGGGGAAGGCAGGGCGCTGACCCCCCATCTCAGGGTGCTAGCTGGGCACCCCACTGGTTCCCGGTCACGAGTCCCTAGCCAGTTTTCTTTCAAGTCCTGTCTATCCCACCTTGTGTACGAATGTTTGTATTCTAACCCTTACAAATCCATGTTAATGTTTTCCTCAGAAAAACAGGTCTGGTCATTCAGGAAGTAGGTTTCTGGGAGCCTGGGGCTCCAGTGCTGACCCCATGGTCCACTGGCCAGACACCCAACTGCACATAATTTCTCCATTGAAAACAAGTAGGGGCGGACGAGATACAATCTTTACAAAGCAAGGAAAATACAAGTATAACGTGAAGATCCCAAAACACTTTTAAGGTTCTAAATTTAAGTTAAATAACGTAAGCTCTATTTTATAATTTAAAAATACATAAGTAAGCAAGCAGCCCTAATAAGCAGCCCTGGGT